GAATGTATATCATTTAATAAATCATGAAATAAATTCATAATAAGATTGACAAATATATCACCGGATGAATATAATAATGCATCAGAAATAAAATATTCAAATAAAACATTTTGTGTTAAATAACAATTAGCACCAAATACACCTGTAAGACGTTTATCATTTATAATTAATGGCATTGTTTTTGTAAATTTAGTTCGAACAATATCAGATGAAAATGAAGATAATTTTAAAATTAATTTCCAATAATCACAAACACTTTTTGCTAAGAAAAAAAAAGAAGAAAATAAAAAAAGAAAATCAAGTTATTTTTGTTTACCATTTGATGGATTATATAAACATGTTCGAGCTTTATTAAGAACATTAAGAATAGCACAAGCACATTCATCATTATTTTCTCCATCAACAAAATCATTCATTCGATCATAAACAAGTTTAACGAGATCTTCTTCGTCATTATTATTACTTGTTGATGAACAAAGTGGTAATAATTCACCAATTAAATCAAAACTTGCTGCTAAACTCATCGGACTAAATAATCAAGTTTTTTTATTTAAAAAAGAAGAAGAAGATTCTTTCTAATTACCGTCTTAATTTATCGATTAGATGAATAATTCGTCTTGTTAATCGTTCATAATTATTAGTTTTGTCAATCATTTTTAAAAGTAATTCACATGTTTTCGTATAAAGTTGTTCATTAAATAAATCCATTGTTAATAATAAATCAGTTATCCATTGTCGAATATTATTTTCAAATAGAGACAAATTATTTTCTAATAGAAGTGTTTCAACAAAACATAATTCTGTTTGAGTTTGTTCAACAAAAAGAAATAATTTTAATAGAACTGAAACATTTTCAAGGCGAATTATTAAACGTGTTAATATACGAGTTAAATCATCACTTCCAATTGTTACTTTATCACCATTTTTTAACATAAAATTTATATATTCATTTATAGTATTTGTTAATTCATTCGAATTTATTTGACAATGAATATTGTATAAAAATTCCAAATAACAATATTGGGTTAATGAACAATTATTTCTATACAAATAAAAAAAATTATTTATTAGAAATATTTCATGAAAGGCCTTTCTCGTCGAATTGGTATTTCTAATAGAGCTAAAGACTTTCTTCAAAAATTATCTCTGCTAGACTCTCTCTCTACGAGAAAAAGAATATTTGTGCCTATGTTTAGAAAAATGAAACAACGTTATCGCTATGCAATAACATGATAAATTCCTGCATAGGTATGCATGAAAACTTAAAATACATCGTTATTCTTCCCCGACATCATTCAAAATACTTGGAGTTTTTGGCGCTGCTTGTGATTTTCCATACAGCCAATATTATCGGATAAAAGATGCGGTGCGAAAGCAATTTTTTTATAACTGATCTATTCAGAGATACGCAATTATCACTCCAAAAGTATGTAAGATTGACACTATCCAACTAGTTTTTGTTAATAAATATTCTTTGATTTTAATAGACATTAATTTAAACTATGAATCAATTTAATGATTGTGCTCAATGCAATAGTGCTGAGGAAGCAAACGAATTTAGGATTACGAGTCAACCAGCTGATGAATTGCTGAATGCTTTACTGGATTATACTTCTCATCAATTAATACCTGACTCAACTATACAATCGTCAGATTCTTATTCTTCAGGTAAACATACTATATAATTTGTTTTTTTTCAATTTCTTATAATATATAATTTATACAGGAGTACAATCCAGATAGAATTGAAAAGTCAAGAAGAAAATGTGCTTATTTCATTCTGAAACGTATTCGAAAACTTTCAACGAAGAATAAATGCAAGCGATCAGATCATATTTTTTAATGTTTTATTTTTTAGTATATTTTCTAATAAATGTCTGTACATGAAAAGAAGTAACACTTGTCTGAAAACTCGCTCAGCTCTTTCTCGTAGAAACGATTATGAAAAATGATAGTTTGCTTTTTCTACGTGATAAAATAAAATAAAGATGAATACGAACTGATAAATACACCATTGAAGTGATGAAAGCATTTCTTGTAAATTATATGTTGGATCAAGATGAAATACAAGATGATGTTTTTTCATTGATAGAAATATTGCATTGATCTATTAAATTAAAAATAAATATTTTCTTTCTAATAACTAATAGAATTTACTTGTAATAAACGACCATGAAGAGTATTTTGTCTCATATGATCTTTTGATACTTTCATTAATTGTTTTATTTGTTGATGAATTATAGTTGAATATTGATCATGATGAATTAAAGCTAAAAGAGCTTTTGATGAATGTTCACGTATACGTAATAATGGAGATTCTTCACATTTTATAACAAATGGTAAAAGTTTATCTAATGTTAATGAACAATCAATTCCATCTAGTGGACTTGGATAAAGTCGACGAAGAATTAATAATATCGCAAATAAACATGACGATGATAAAGATTCAATTGATGAACGAGTACTAAAATACAAAAAAATGAATTTTTTTGACAACAAGAAATAACAAATAACTAACCTTGTTGTTTGTTGTAATTGTTGATAAAATAAATGAAATAATGATGGATATTTATTAAAGAATTCTCTTGAAGTCATACTATTTTTCTTTGATATATTTTCTTCTCCATCTTTTGTTTTTGATGGACCAAATATTCTTTGAACAATTGTTGATAATAATAATGTTGCACTATTTCGTATCATCCATATTGATGATGTAAAACCAGTTATTGATAAATGAAGACCACGTTCAATATACGGTAAAACATCATTTGCAAATCGTTGATTACGATAAAATGAACGAGCTGTATTATACGCATGAATCTATTAACAAATCAAATATTTAATTGATATCAAATAGAATGATATAAAGGATCTTGTCAGAAAAATCATTCAAAATCGGTTAATATCATACGCTTTTAATCGATTATAATCTCAATTCATCATAATAATCACGGATTCTTTCATTTTTTCGGTTATAATCTGATTTTTACCGAGTCTTTTTTATATGGGTAAAGGCTTAATCACTTCTGACAGTTTGCTTGTCAATTAAATCTGAATACCTTTCGACTATTTTCTAATGTTTGTCCCTCGACTTGTATTGTATCAGGATCATTTTGAATAATATTTAATAGTGTATCCATTAATTTGGCTACATATGTTCTTTGTTGTCCTCGTTGTTTAATTGGTTCATCAGTTAATATCGATTGAAGATAAAAAGGTAAACCACCTGATCGTCGTGTTAAACATAATTTATTTTTATCTAAACTATTTTCTTCAACCATTTTAATACCATTTTCAATCCAATCAATTGGTAAGTTACATAATTCTTTACAACTTGAACTAAAAAAAATATTTAATTAAAATCAAATAAATATCAAATAAATTTCGTTTACTTCCAAAGTTGTTCACAGATAATAACAAAACCAGTATAAGCTAATTCATATGCACCACAATGACGTGATTTTAATAATTGTTCCATAAAATAATTACATATAACATCAATCTAAATAAATCAAAATGTTTTTTTATTTTATTAAAATAATTCCAATGAAATACTTGTGTTAAACTAATAAATCGATATTGATCTTTATTTTCAATAAATTTTATTCCAATTTGTCCCAAACGACTGAATAATAAAGAAATTTCTTTAATTGTTCTCCAACAACATACTAATAACATTTGTGATGTTATTTGACTATTACACTCTTCATCTTTTTCATTAACTTAAATAAAGAAATTAAATTCAAACAAGAACAAAAGAAAAAGCAAACCTACTATCAGTTAATTCCATTGGTAACATGCCTTCAGGTGATGATGTACTAACAACTGGACCAGTTATTGACGCTATTTCTAAACTTACTTCAATTAAATGAGCAAATAAATCTCTCCATTGATTAATTTCATCTTGTTTATCATATCTAAATAAGATAAAAACATTTTTTTTATTTCTGTAAATATTATTTAATTGAATTTACTTATCACCAATGAAGATATTTAAAAGTGCATTAATACCACTTAAACATCCATACATCGGTCCATTTTTTGCAGCTTGATATAAATTAGTTTTGGCTTGTTTAACTTCATTATCTAATCTGTTTGTTATATGATTAATTAATAAATAAATTTGATCATTTTCATTTTTATTCTCGGAATGAATTAATTGAGAAAGATTTTTTAAATTGATTTGTGCAATACATTGAACAAGTGTAGCACCAGTTGCTGTTTCAGGTGGTTGAGTACTGGATAATAATTGTAAGATTCGATCAAATAATACTTCAACGCGAAGGTCAATATTATTATTCTTGACATACTTTTAAAATAGAAAAGAGAAGAAAAGAAAAAAAACATCAAGCACTATATATATATATATTTTTGGTTTTATCGCTTCGAAATATTTCAGCGTAGTCAGTTGTTTTTTTTTCATCTATAAATCACTAATAATTTTCGCTTTAGTTTTAGATAAAAACAAAAATATGTCGTTGGAATGTGAAGAAAAAGACTGGATGATTGAATTAGGTGTTCGACCTAATAAAATGTCTCCAATTGATCCACCTTCAATTAATAATAATAATAATAATGAAGATTATACTCGTCTTTTATCATCAATGTATGCAATGACCTTAGGAGAAAATTTATTCTCACATAATATCGATCCTTATATTCTTGAACATATTGAAATGGAAAAAGAATTTATGGAACAAGA